ATGTTTTCGCCAAATGCTGTTATGTTGAATCCAAGAAACTTTCGCAATAACTGCTGTCATAGATATGTATTCTGCCTCCGTGCTCGACCTAGCAACAGTTCTTCGTTTCTGCTACTCCATGAATCCAAAGTCCGTCCAAGAAACATATAACAACCACATATGGGGCGACCAAATTCAAATCTCCAGCCCAATCTGCGTTAGAGTAGGCAATGACAATGAGAGGATTATAGGAAGTGTCTCCTCACATATATATCAGTCCATCACTAGTAGTGGCCTTGGACGTATCGAAGTATGTGTTTCATTCCCCAAATGAGTACAATACGGTGCATACACAAACTGGGAGACCCGGATCAATGCAGAAACAATGTTTGGTACTTGTCAGTGTCAAATACTTGAGGGCACCAACAATAATGTAATATTGTTGCAGATCAGAAACCGGTTCCCCGTCTTCTGCTTTAAGTCTTTGATGAATGGGTGTAGGAGTCGAGGCTGATTTACAATCCTTCACACCACAGCAAGAAAACAACTCTATGGCATACTTATGTTGGGAAAGGATAAGTTTATAAGTGTAGGCGTCATGGAAAATTTACAATCCTTCATGCCACCAGTTAGAGGCAACTCCAAGACATACTTATGCAGGGAAAGGATAAGTTTATCATCAGTTTTGTCCACTTCAACACCAAGGAACTATTTTAGTGAACCCAAATTTTTCATTCGAAATTTCGAGTTTAATAACTCCTTTTTGGTTTGAATGTGATCATGCGAGCTGCCATTAATAACAATGTCATCAACATAGAGAAGAAAAATTGCGATTCCGCACACTAGTACAGATCGACAATGTATAGTCCACTTGACTACACTTAAAACCATGAGATATTATTTCCTTGCAAAAGCCTATGAGAACGTGCTTGAGATGCCTGCTTAAAACCATAAATCCTCTTGTTTAGTCTGCATACTTTGAATTTTAGATCAGCCACAATGTTCTTGGGTGGCTACCCAATATAAACTTCATCCGTGAGATCACCGCGAAAGGATGCATTTTTAACATGTGCTTCTGGAATATCCCTACCATAAGTGATTGCTAAGGAGAGAACAATGTTAATTATTCCCACTCTAACCACTAGGCTGAATGTCTCGTCCTACCCTCTTCTTGAGTACACCCTTGTGCCACAAAGTGAGCTTTAAAGAGCTCATTGCTACCAACACCCTTGTACTTGATTTTATAAACCCATTTACAACTATCACATTTCTATTGTAGGGCCCGTTTGCTTCCCTGGAAGAGACCCATTTCTATAGAAACGGCCCGTAAATGATGTTTGGATGCCCTCCTAAGGCAGGAGTTCCATTTCTGCATGGAAACCAACTTCCACATTTTAAACCTTTTTTATGGAAATGTCAATTCCAACCAAATAGATGTAATTAACATTTCCAAGAGATTGAAAGAGAGCCAGAAGCCTTCAAAACCTAGGCTAAGTTATATTTATTAGAGTGGGTTGAGGCCTGCCCAATAAAAAGGATCTCAAACCCTAGAGCTATAATAATTATAATAAATTAATATTAATAATTAATACATATATAAATAATAAATAGTATATATTATATTAATTATAAATATATAATTAACATATTAATTACATGTAATCATTATATTATTATAATTACAACAATTATATAGTTATAATAATTATATAATCACATATAATTACTATAATTAATCATATGCAATAATTTATGTAATTAATTTCTATATTATAATAGAAATATTAAAATAACTATAATATTAACTATTATATGATATATAATAATATATAACACCATATATAATCCTATTATAATAATTTTTTTTGAGTCAGTTAACATAATTCTAGTATTATAAATTCATAATTATTATAACATTACCCATTATATGGTATATAACAATATATATAAGGGTTTGTATACAATGAGACCATTTATTTTTGATACATGGAGGTCACAATTACTTATAACCCTCCTATGTGAAATCTAATAGCTTGGATGTGTCACAAAGTTCGAGAAAATTTCTTTTGAACTTTAAACTTGGTCAATGGAATAAATGCAGTTGATAAACAGAGGTCACAATTACTTATAACCCTCCTATGTGAAATCCAATAGCTTGGATGTTTTTTTTTTTTTGTTTTTGTTTTAAATAGGTTAACTTTTACTAAAAAGAATTACATACTAGCTAAAGTAAAGAAGGTAACCCCACAAACCGGGTGCTCACAAACCGGGTGCTCAATGTACAAAAACCAAGAGAAGTGAGAGAATAGAGAAATAGACGAGAAGAAGACAAAAACAAAATACACAAAAGAAAGCAAAGGAACCAAAAAGCACCGAGAAGTGTTATTTATAGAACCTCAGAGATTGGGTAAAAGGAGTGGGGAGAAAGAGAGCCTTTGTGAATAGGTTAAGAGGGGGGAAGGGAGGGGAGTGAGATTTGGGAAGGGGATGAATTTAGAAGATGGGGTTAGAGAAGAGGGCTTAATTTGGGGGAGATAAGAAGATTATGACTGAGAAGGAGAAAAGAGAGAGGGGGTGAAGGAAGGGCAAGAGAGAAGATAGGTGGTTTAGAGAAAGAAAGGAGGAAGAGTAGAGGTGCGTTCCATAAGAGGCTGAAGATGATGGTTGCCGGGAAGAGCTGCTGGGAGCAAAGGTCCTATCGGAAGAGAGCTTCAGAGGAAGATACGATAGAACTTGAAGAGGAATAAAGAGAGAGACAGAGAGACTGAACCAATTAATGAAAACATAGCTGTAAAAAACTGAAATGGAGTCTAAAGATCGAAACTTCTTCTTTTTTTTCTCTTTTTTTTTTCATTCCTTTGTTTCCTCTTTTTTTTCTTCTTCTTCCTTTTTAATAGCTTGGATGTTGTTATAAAGTTCAAGAAAATTTCTTTTGAACTTTAAACTAGTCAATGGAATAAATGCAGCCAACCAATTTCACATCCAATGGTTAACATTAATTGTGATTACCTTGTGCAAAAAGTAAATGGTCTCATTATATACTTTTCCTATATATAATACCATATAATATAATAATGGAAAATTGTTTCATGCAGGGTGCACAACATTTCTACAATATGCGGTCCAGAGGTATAAAGCATCCATCTTAAAGATGGATTCAAATAGGTGGTTCATCTAAAAAGAATTGTAACTAACGGTCCAAATGTTTTCTTGATGTAATTTTTTTTTTTTGAAGAAGTTAACTGTAATATATATAAAGGAGAGAGTACAAAGAAAAAGAAAGAAGTGCACTTCCACAGACAGAGGGCAAACAGAACCCTTATGCCAAGAGGGATGAGAGAGAGAAAGTTCCAAAAAACATCTTTTTATCAGTTACAATGCTTGTAACAGGGCAACCAACAAAAAGATATCTATCCCAAAAATTAGGCTTCTTCTAAGACCGCTCCATCTTTTAGCTAGTGTGTCCGCTGCGTGGTTTCCCTTCCTCCAAATATGCCTCCATGAGACGCAAATATCCCTGCAAATGTAGTGAATCTCATAAAAAATGTGTGCTAGGTTCCAAGGAGGGGGTGAAAGTGTAGATGCCCAAGCTATAATAGTTTTGGAGTCTCCTTCAATAATGAGGAGCTCCGAGTGGTAAGGTAAGCAAAGTTTGGGCCCTTGAAGGAGGGCAGATGCTTCCGCATCCGTGGAGTCAGCATGACCTATGGATAGAGATAAGGAGGCAAGAGTGATTGTGGAACTGTCCCTTAGGAGTGCCCCTATTCCGGCTGGACCCAGGTTTCCTAAAGAGCATCCATTGAAGTTCAGTTTAAGGGTACCCGGCTCAGGAGGTTTCCAACATGAACTTCGTGAGATGCCCTTATGTTGATGTTGAAGGATGGTTGTCCACTCATAAAAGAAAACAGCATGGGGAATGCCTTTAAAATCCTTATGGTTAGTTGCCCAGAAGATCATAGAAGATTTGAGCTTAGCGAAACAAGTGGGATAACTTGA